GGTCCTGAGGTAGTAGTTCTATTGGATCTCTCTCCCATAGTGTTGGGATGTCTGTGAGGGATTACTCTGTGTCTGTCTTCTATTGTTTCTGTAAGGACTGCAGGTATTTTGGATCACTGGTGTCTGGGCAAGATTAATTGACTTTCCATTTTGAAAGATAAAGATCACAGGGCTCCATCCTTCCTTCAACTTTTTTCTATCCCTTCCTCCCAATCAAATCCTTTGAACATGATTGTGATTTTACTACACGTACTAATTGTGTATTCTCCTTTGGTCATCCTTTGATCACAAAAGGGTTTTTTTTTTTTTTTTTTTTTAAGATATAACTTACATAAAGTTCAAAGATCTTAAGTATACAGTTTGATAAATTTTTTCCTATGTGTACATAAGCACATATACATGGAAGTGTAAAATAGTAATATTCACTAATGTGAGTACATAATAACCATTTGCTTTAATTTTAATTTTGTAAGTGTGATATATATCAAGAAAGATAGACACAATCAACATATTGAACTTTTCCAGCATCTAGCAGAGTCCCTCATATCCCCTCTCAGTTACTTTTCCCCCAAAAGACCACTATTCTAACCTATATCACTTCTATAGATCAGTTTCAAACTTCATATGAAGAGTTCTGGTGACACAGCAGTTAAGTGCTCAGCTGCTAACAGAAAGGTTGGCTGTTCGAACCCACCCAGGGACTCCACAGGATAAAGACCTGGCAATCTATTCTCGTAAAGGTTACAGCCTAGGAAAGCCTATAAGGCAGTTCCACTCTGTCACACAGGGTCACGATGAGTCAGAATCAACTCCATGGCACCTAACAGACTGCACGTAAATGAAATCAACATGTTTTCCTGTGTCTGGCTTCTTTCATTTCATCATTGTTTTTTTATACCTTTTGTTACCTGTATCAGTGATTCATTCTTTATTCCTGCATGGTATTTCATTGTATGTATGTATTCTTTTTAAAGTACATGTGAGTTGTTTCCAGTCTTGGTCATTATGAATAATGCTGTTCTGAATAGTTGTTTCTGTTGGTTATGTACTTAGGAGTGGAACTGTTGGGCCGCAGGGTAGGTGTATGTTTAGTTTTAATGCTGTTGTTATTTGCCATTGACTTGATTCAGACTCATGGCAACCCCACGGGTGCATACTGATAAACTGTTGTCCAGAATGGTTGTACCAGTGTACATTCCCAACAGCAATCTATGAGAGTTTGTTCCTCATTCCCATCAGCATTTTGAATTGTCCTTTTAATTTTAGTTATCGTTCTAATGGTTATGTGAGGAGCTCTGGGGCATAGTGGTTAAGGCATTTGGATGCTAACCAGAAGGTCACTGGTTCAAACCCACCAGCTGCTCCATGGGAGGAAAATGAGGCAATCTACTTCCGTAAAGATTTACAGCCTTGGAAGACCAATGGGGGTCGCTATGAGTTGGAGTCAACTTGATGGCAGTGGCTTTGGTTTTTGGAATGGTCATGTATGTGGCATCTCACTGAAGTTTTCATTTGTGTTTCTTTGATGACTAGTGATATTTAGCACCTTTTAATGCTTCTTGAACATCTGGAGATCTTTTGTAAAGTAACTATTCAGATCTATTTCCCTTTTGAAAAATTGTCTTGTCTTTCTTTTTCTTACTGATTTGATCAAAATGCTTTATACATCATGGATATGTGTTTTTTGTTGGATACATGGGTTGCAAATATCTTCTCCCTGTCTGAGGTTTGCCTTTTTCATTCTATTAATGGTGTCTTTTGATTAATGGAAATTCTAATTTTTAAGAAAGTCCAATTTTTTTGGTCTATCAATTTTTTTCTCTCATGATTAGTGCTTTTGTGTCCTATTATGATAGAAGGGGGCCTGTTTTGTCTCACCCTCACCAACATCAAGTTTTATCTTGTAATACACCAAAAAAGAATGTCATTGTGTGTTTCTGTTTTTCTCTGACTACTAGGCAGGTTGACTATTTCTCCACAATTCCCTGAATTGTGTTAATATAATTTTCCCATTTATCTACAAGTGCCTCAAGGTTTTTTTTGTTTGTTTGTTTTGTTTTGTTTTGTTTAGGATTTGGGTGAAGATTTACAGAGTAAATTCACTTTTCATACAGCAGTTCACATATACTTTGTCTCATGTCATTGACCAAAATTTACAATGCAGCAGCTCCCCTCCCACTTCCTCCACATAGTTACCTCCTCCCAGTGTCCATCCCTTCATACTCTACTGCACCCTGAGCTATCTCCCTGTGCATAAGCAGCCCTTCCTTCTCCCATGATTGTTCTCTCCAGGGCGTGTGTCTACTTGAGGTAAATGTTTAACTCACATGCCTGTACTTTGTTTGGCTGGAAACCACAGTTGTGGGTTCAATTCCAGACCTGAAGGGCAGCTAGGGGCCATAGTCTCAGTGGTTACACCAGGCTCCATTGGACCAGCAAACCTGGTCCCCACCTTCTTCTTTTTTTTTTTTTTTTTGCCTCCAAATGATTTTGAGTTTTGTACCACATTGTTCTCCCTCTTTATGCAGGATCTCCTACATCCCTTCCAAGTGGATGGCAGTGGTAGCTGGGCACCATCTAGTTCTTCTGGTCTCATAGTTGTATAGGTTGCAGATCAGATGGTGTACCAGTCGCTAGGACTGATTGTTTCCATTAATTTTGGTTTTCGCCTCAAGTTTTTGTTATCCATTTTCTTTTATAATCAGGATCTTAAACTGAGTGCATATTTACTGAAAATAGTTTTCCCAAGTCTGCTTGCTGCCTAATTTTTTTCAAACATTCAGAAGTTTAAAATTTTTATATCAAATTTGGCCACCTTTCTCGTTATCATTTCTTGTATCACTTTTAAGCTTAGAAAGGTCTTCCCTCTCCAGAGATTTCATGGAAATACTTTTTTCTTTCTTTCTATTTTCCCTGTTTGGTTTTTAAATACCTCTTTAACTCATCTGGCATTATTTTGACATATGACAGACTTTATGTGTCTCTTCATGATGGTTTTAAATATGCAGTGCATTTTGGTTGCATAAGTGTAGAATTATATATATATAAACATTATATATATATATCCTCTGTAATGTGTATATGTTTTTAAAGATACAAGGAGGAAAAGGTAAGCCCCTTTTAAAAAATAAAGAGTTGTAATAGTTTATAATGTTAAAAACTTGCAGGACTTACTGGAACAATATCTAGAGAGGTAACTGAGAGAGAGTCCACAGAACGAAACAGTAGCAGCAACGCCAAGCCAAAGGGCTACATCCTAACAGTGGAGGGAGGGTGGAGAGAGGGATGGGTAGGAGGAAACAGAAAAATAGCATAGTCCTCTTTCAGGGTCTGTGATAGGAAGGAAAGTTTATCACTGACTTCAGAAGTCCAGATTGGGAGCTGAAAGCCAATGCTCACCTTCCCCTTGGCTAGTCCTCTGGATTAGCCATTAGACCTGACCGTGGTCAGAGGTAAAGGGCCTCCTTTGGATAAAGCAGAGAGAGAAATTGTGTGCCCTAAAATAAGAGCAACCAGGACAAATGTGATGTTTTTGACCTGGTTGTTCCACAAGGTACGACTGACCTAGAAGGAAACAACACTGTCTCTCCACTGCAGTTGGTCTCCTTTCTCCCTGTTTTGGTTTCTCTGAGCTGCCCTCATGCTCGTGGATCACCAGACCTGGGGCAGGTTTCCCCATACATTGACCGTGGACAACGGACTGGGCTCTGAGTCTTCTCCCTAGGTAGGAGGTAGAAAGAAGAGTCCAATGACTAGGGAAAGCGCTTACATAAGTGAGCCCAAGGGCTTAGTCACTAAGGACACAACACGCTTTGTTCAAAACTAATTACTGCATTAGTAAGTCACATGCTCAGAAGCACATATTACGTGACTGTATTAATTGTTCTGTTAACAATGGCAATGCTCAAGGAATGTCACCAGTGTTTGTCCAAATGTCATCCTGTGTCACTGTTATCAGGTGAGCTTGCTAAAAATGCAGATTACTGGACCGTCCCACATCGACTGAAGCAGGATCTCTGGGCTGTGCTGTTTAACCACTCCTCCTAATGACTGTAATAAACCCTAAAGTTTGAGACCCACTGGATTTCACTTAATGTAGGAACCAAACGTGAGGCCAACACCAGTCAAATGTACTTGAAGTCGTTATTTGTATTCATTTTTCTTTTATTAAAGTTCTTTTCTAATAACCAGGTTTCATGAAGTAACATTGGTGGAATCAAACTTAAACAGCTCTGGAGTATACCTTTAATTTCACTTTGTTTTCATTGTTGCTGTTGTTGTTATGTGCCGTTGAGTCAGACCGACTCATAGCGACCCCTGCTTGGATTTCTGAGGCAGTATCACTTACAGAAGTAGATTACCCCATCTTCCTTCCGAGGAGTGGCTGGTGGGTTTGCAGTCAAGTGCCTTAGGCACTACGCTACCAGAGGTCCCTTGTTTTCATTATCATTGTTAATTAAACATCTGCTAGTATGACACATAGTGTAGTGTCTAAGGCACTTGACTGCTAACCAGAAAGCTGGCAGTTCAAACCCACCAGCCACTCCTCGGACGGAAGGTTGGACGATCTACTTCTGTAGTGATACTGCCTCGGAAACCCAAGGAGGGGTCGCTCTGAGTGGGTCCAACTCCACGGCACATAACAACAACAACAGTATGACACGTGGCACTAGAGGCAGAAAAGTGAATGGACTCTGCCGACCTCCTAATTCAAAACTTGTACTAAGAATGTAAGGACTTGTTTGGTGCTTATACCCTGGTTCAGGTAGGCCTTGCCATACCTAGAATTATCTGGTCTAACCTTCCATACCTGCAGAAGAATGGCTATTTCTTAGACATGTTGGATACTCTAAGACCAAGAAATGGTCATGCTGAAGCATGGACCAGAACCTAGATCAGATCATTCTAGGTGTGTCAAGGCAATTTAGGGCCAAGTGATGGTGAGTGAGACCCCGTGGTCTTGGTCTTCAGTCACGGGTGTCTGCCTTTCCCTTCTCCAGCACTGGGCCCTATGGACATTGCCCTCACAGCCATCATGACCATGCTTGCCGTGGGCTCCATCATCATCTTCCTAGAAGATGCTGTCTACCTGTATAAGAACACCCGTTGTCCCATCAAGAGGAGAACTCTGCTCTGGAGTAGCTCTGCACCCACGGTGAGGGCCCTTTGGGAGGGACTGGAGAGGAGGCAGGGATCATTTTAAGAATTCCTCTGAACTTAACAACTTATGTCAACAAAGCATTGCCTGCCTGTCCCACCTTAAAATGGGGGTTTAGTGCGATCTCATTTGCAATTAGGACCCCATACTTGGAAAACCAACAGGCAGTGGGATGGATATTCTAAGATCCTACAGAGATAGCTGGAAAGCCTGCTCTCCTACCACTACCCTCCCCCACACACACACACCTCTCCCCACTGCAGTATAGCTGATCAAAGGAAGCCTCCTTCCTGTACAGGCAGGCTTGAGTGTAGGAGGAAAAGAATTTTTGCCCCACAGAGTCATACTCAGATCTACCCTTACACTTTTTAACTCACTCCCATAATCATTATACAACTTTGATTTACTCCTGGGACATAAGGTTGGACTTCTGTCTGCTTATACTGAGCTGTGTGTGTCTGTTTTGGGTGAAGAGTGGAGCCCTTGAGGTCCTTTCCTGCCAGACGATATCAGCCTGGGCCTTCTCAGTCCATCAGAGAGGCTCTGATAACATGGGACTAATAAAAGGAAGGGATTGAACCTTGATCCAGTTACTTACCGTCTTCTTCCCCCCGGGGTACAGTGGGAGAGTCTTCAAAAGAACCCAACTCAAGGGGACTTGCTGTCTCTAATGCTAAACATAGAAATAACTGACAGCTGAATTTTAAAACATTTTTAAATAGATTTGTTTTCCAGCTGACAACTTTTAAGTAATGGTGTCTTAACTGTTTAGATTTTGCTTCCTTGGGCCCATGCCACAAAATGTTCAAGAGAACGAGCAGTCTTCTCCCTGCTCTAATGGCTCTTGCCCCTCTCCAACCAGGTCGTGTCTGTGCTCTGCTGCTTTGGTCTCTGGATCCCTCGATCCCTTATGCTTGTGGAAATGGCCATCACCTCGTGAGTGTCCTGCCCAGCCCCAACTCTGAGCTGGGAATCTCCCTGAGGTCCCCTTCTGCCCTGTACTCACCCTGAACTCTAGTCTGTCTTCTATATCTTATCCCTTCCCTCAATCCCTGCAAGCCAACTCATCATGAACCTAACCCTTCCCAACTTCTAGTTCTGTTCAGGGAATGCCTTATCTGGGCACATTCCTCAGTCATCTCTTTGTTCCCACAGCTTGAAAAGCCCCACCCACCCTTCCCAGCCTCCTGGGCACTGTCCTTTCACTTCTCTGAGTGCACACGTGTTCAGAATGGCTGGTCCCCTCTTTCTTTCCCCTCTGCTGGCTGACATATCCCCTCTATATACCGTCTTCCTCCTTCGCCCGCTTTAGGTTTTATGCGGTATGCTTTTACCTGCTAATGCAGGTCATGGTGGAAGGCTTTGGTGGGAAGGAGGCAGTACTGAGGACATTGAAGGACACCCCAATGAGGACCCACACCGGCCCCTGCTGCTGCTGCTGCCCCTGTTGCCCGCCCCTCATACTCACCAGGTAAGGTGGAAAGGAGAGACATCCTTGAGGAACAGGTTAGCCTCTTCCTGCACTCTCCCACAAGCCTCTTCCATTCTCTCAGCTCTGCTTCAGAGCTCCTGGAATCAGGCTGGTATGGAACATAATGGGGTGCGGATCCCACATCCAGGACGCTCCTCCTTAATTTCTGCCTCAGTGGGAGAAAGGACACACACAGGGGCCCCAAGCCCAAGGGAACAGGGGAGCAGAGAAAAGAGAACTTTGAAGTTCCTTCCCATCACTTAAGCTCACTGCTCCCTGCAAACCTTAGCCACACAGAGCTAACTACACTTTGGACCATTTACTTGCCCCTTCTGCCCTTAAGGAGCTCTGAGGCACTGTGGTTAAAGCATCGGGTTGCTTGCTAACCAAAAGGTCAGCGGTTTGAACCCATCAGCTGTTCTATGCTGTTCTATGGGAGAAAGATGAGGCAGTCTGCTTCTGTGAAGATTTACAGTCTTGGAAATCCTATGGGGCAGTTCTGTTCGATAGGAGTCAGAATCAACTCAATGGCAAGCCATAGTGGACTCAGCCTATTTTGGTTAATGAGGTTGGGGTTATTTGCCGTTGAATCAGACCTGACTCATAGTGAGCCCTCCTTGGGTTTCCGAGGTGGTATCACTATGGAAGTAGATTGCCCAACCTTCCTTCCGAGGAGTGGCTGGTGGGTTTGAACCGCCAGCCTTCTAGTTAGCAGTCAAATGCCTTAGGCACCATGCTACCAGAGTTCCTGAGGTTGGGGTTAGCAGTCTTGATAGTCCTTGCTTAAAAGGTAGCAGCTGGGGTTGATGGGAGGTGAGAAGTGTTCTCAGTGCTCCCAGCATTCAGGCTGCTTGTGTCCCTGCCTACTTCATTATTGTAGTGGCTATGGCAGCCATGCTTCAAGTCTTGGGGTAAGTGGTTTGTGAGTCCGTGCCATAACTCTCTGTCCCCTCAGGAATAAACTCCAGCTGCTAATGTTGGGTCCATTCCAGTATGCATTCCTCAGGATCACACTGATCGTGGTGGGCCTGTTTCTCATCCCTGACGGCATCTTTGATCCAGCAGATGTAAGCCAGGAGGAGGGGCTGACAAAGTCCAAGCCTCACTTAGCACCCTTGAGCTCTAGAAGGAAAGCTGGAGCCAACATTCTCTGACACAGGGCCGCCTGCGGGGACAGGGTGGGTGTGGGACAGAAGTGGCTCAGGGGCTCTGGCAGGGAGGAGACTGCAGTGGGCTGAGGCTTTGGCGCTTTCCTACTACCTTTCTCACTGTGGGAGAAGAGGAAGGCTTGCCTCCCTCACTGACACTTTCTAGTCCATTGCCAGATTTCTGAGGAGAGCACAGCTCTCTGGATCAACACTTTCCTCGGTGTGTCCACCCTGTTGGCTCTCTGGGCGCTGGCCATTCTTTTCCGTCAAGCCAAGCTGCACCTAGGTGAACAGAACATAGGAGCCAAATTTGTTCTGTTCCAGGTAACTAATTACTCATGGGTGCTTAATAATAGAACTATGAGTGGGGTTGGGAGATTAGGGGAATCTTAAGCCTCCGGTTTCCCGTGAGATTTGGAGTGATTCCCTCCCCCTTCCCAGTTTTTGCCTCTCCTTGTACTATCAAACTTTCTTAAATTCTTCTACTCTTGCCTTTTTTCTACTCATTTCTTCCTAAACCCTGTAACCCACCACCACCAGATTACCACAGCTGCCATGATTAACATCTCCACCACACCATATGCCAGGCACTTTTCATACATTGTTGTCACAGTAATCCTAGGAGTCATTCCTTATCATTCCTGTTTTACAAGAGGAAGCTGACACTCAGAGATGTTATGGGGCTTGTTCAAAGGCACATAATGGATGGGGCTAGAATGTACACCCAGCTCTAACTCCCAAACTCATGTCCCTTCTCATCACACTACCTCTTCCTCTTCACAATGCTCATGAAAATTCTTTTAAAGGCGTTTTTTCACTTTCTAACCTTCTATTCTCTGAGCCCAAAGATGCCCCTGGGCCTCTGGACAGATTTTTTTTTTTTTTTAATTGTGATTTGGGTGAAAGTTTACAGAGCAAATTCATTTTCCATACAGCAGCTCACATACAATCTCATGACATTGACTGCAATTTCCCACAATGCAACAGGTCCCTCTCACTTCCTCCCCATAGTGACCTCTTCCCCATGTCCTTCCGTCCCATACACTCCTGCCCCCAGCTGTCTCCCTGTGCATACACAGCCCTCTATCCTCCATGATTGATCTGGACAGAGATTTTAAAGGCAACTTTAATGGTTGATTGTCCATTATTTTAGGATTCCAATCCTAAGTGCTTTGAGGCCCCAGATCCTTTATCCCTTCAGTCCTTGGCTCCATGTCAGGGACTATTCTTCTCTTTTTGTACAGCCCCTTCATTTCTACCTATGATCACATTTGAGAGGCATCTGCTTGGATCAATGAGAATGTGTGTGAAGTCATTTTGTTAACTAACTATAAAGCAATCATTATGCCTTGGGAGCAGAAGGGCCCAGCAAGAAGATAGGAAGAATGGACAGAGTTGGAAAACAAGCTGACTTAAAAGTCAATGCACTTGTGAACAGGTTTGGGAACGGGGGCCACAGCTCCTTTGAGCTGGGTGGAACTACTCCCATCATCCATTTCTGTCATCCATTGAAGTGCTCATCAGCAGCCATGACTGAAGCAGGAAAATAAACATGAACCCTAATTAGGTTTTGTTGTTTCTTGTCAGCAACTCAAATAAGATACGAGTCAAAGGTAAGATTGTAATTTGACTAAAGAGTACTATCTATAAAGTTTAATCAAGTGGACATCTTGAAGCCCTGTGGGGGTGCACAGATCTAAAGGGTGGCCAAGTCTTCCCAGTGGAAAGGACAAGGCCGAGCAGTGGACGGCTGGCCTCAGCACCACGAACGGCAGCTTCCACCCAGCTCTGCCGCTTTTCTGTTCCACAGGTGCTCCTCATCCTGACTGCCCTGCAGCCCTCCATTTTCTCAATCTTGGCCAGCAGTGGGCAGATTGCTTGTTCACCTCCCTTTTCCTCTAAAGTCAGGTCTCAAGGCGAGTACATGGGAGCTCCTATCCCATTCCAGGGTGGTTGGGGAAGGATCAGGGAACAGGACCTCAGACAGAGGTTGGGCCAGCCTGACTTCTGCTGTAATATTCAGAAAGAGGATCTCTGAGAAATATGAAGAGAGGCTTTAAGGAGACAATGACTCTTAATTCATCACATAGGGTGGAGCTGCAACCCCACAGCTTGAGACCACTCCTGATGGCCAACCAAGGGAGCCATGGACTCAATTCTCAGTTGCTGGGAGTGGAATGGGTATGGTTAGGAAGCAGACAGTCATGCTGATAAAACCAAGAAATGGCTCAGATTTCAGAAGGCGGAGAGTCAAGTTCTAGTTCTGACCCTACCATTTGCTTTGTTACTTATGACAACTTAGTAAGTATTGGGGATAAACTGGAGAAAGTGTTGTTCAGCTCACATTGCCAGGGCTGCTTGTGGGCTCCCATCTCTATACCGCACTATAACCTACACTATGTTTCACCCCACAATGCAGTGATGAATTGCCACCTCCTCATACCGGAGAGTTTTCTAATAACTGTGCTGACACGAATGTACTACCGGAGGAAAGACAACAAGGTTGGGTACGAAGTTTTCTCTTCTCCAGATCTGGGTCTGAACCTCAATGCCTAAGGCAGATAGCATGGACAATGGAAGAGACATTGTACTCATGAGGACAGCACATGATTTCATCACTGTTCCTCAACCTTGACCAAATGGGGAAGGATCCTCATTGTCAGTATATGCCGGCAGATTACAGTTGACTATTGGGATGAAGGATGCAATGGGATGAAATTGTTTTGGATCTTGCTTGGGGAAGTTTTAAGTTTTATAATAAACAAACAAGATGGAGTCTGAAAATCTGTAATTGGGTGCATTGCCTTTGTGGGTACCACTATTAGCCCATAAGTTCTGTATGTAGAGAGGTCACAATGAGCTTTCCAAAAGCAAAGGAAAGGAAGAGGAGGAGGAGTAGAACTCAGCCAGGCAAAATAGCACCGCCTAAAGTCCTAAAGACATCAGGCTTCTGGAGAACAGATGGAAAGAGTCCTATCTGCTCTTAGAGATGTGTCATTAGGGAGCCTGGGAGATCCAGATTAGCCTCACTTTGCCAGTGCCAGCAATCCTGGGCAATGGTCCTCTGTGCCAAGGTACAAGAGGAATCTCCAATAATATGGTCATGGAACTTGATTTTGAGGAGAGAAACTAGGATGTGAAAGCAAAGAAATTGAGAACAAAGGTAAAAGCCCAAAATTCGTAAAATATATCCTCCACAGGTGTACCAGGTCAAAACCACAGGAAATGGAACATTAGCATTTATTGGGCTAAATAATAAAAGTCAAAATAACTCTGAACTAATTAATAACACTCAAACAGGAAAACAATATTCTGAACATTAATTAAGGAAAACTTTCCTGTGGATGCTGGCATTGGTGATGGGCTGAGATTCATGCCAGGGCCAGGATTTCCTTCCCACTACCTCTCCCCCCCCCGCCCCCCGCAAGATCCTCAACCGACAACGAACCAAGTCTCTGTGTCCAAAGCTGTCAGTGACTTCCAAAGAAGGAGGGTGGGGAAGGCTTGCTTCAAAGAAACACAACCCGGGTTATCCTAGGTTAGCATTTAATGGTAAATCAGCACTTCTGTTTTCAACCCCAATCTGAGTACTAACATAAAACTCTGACAAGACAGAAAATCTTTCTTTTCACTTTTTAAGAAAATTAGCATTGAGTAGTATAATTCCAGGAACATGTTCTACTTATTTATTTGGAAAAATAGAAGTTAGGGACCCCTCTTCATCCCATGACAATCTATTCTATGAGAGAAAATGAGAACAATCATTGTCATGACTTTGAAAAATATAACCTCTAAAAATACTTACACTGGTAAGCTTAAAAGAAAAACACCATTAATTAAAAATATTGTTAAAGGAAATTATTTCTATCCATATTGGTTCAACTCCTGGTGAGAGTGCAGACAGAAAATTTAGAAGCCATGGCTTTTTGGGGATTAAAGAAAAGCAGCAAAACAGAACTGATTTGGACAGATTTCAGATAAAGGGACCTGGAACAGAATTAAAAAGACTCCAGAAAAATAGTAACCCACAGGTTAAAACCGACCTGAAACAGAATCCAAGCACTGTGAGGAACCACTGTGGAGGGAATCCAGAGCTCAGGTGCTGCCTGAGAAGTTATAAGCGATCAGACAAGGTCAAGAAGTTTTTCAACCTACCTTTTATTTTTCCTCCTCTTCAGGACTTCCAGCCTCCTCTCATGCCCAACCTTCTCATCTAATCCTCCCCAAAATGATGGTCTGTGGCCCCAGCCGTCAGAGGTGGCTGCAGCACTCCACACTGCCCATTATTAGTCCTCTAAAGTTTCAACCTCTAATCTTTGGGCTCTGGAGTCTAGTGTGTGGAAAGAACAAACTTTCTGCCCAGCCTACCAGGAGGAAACTGCTAAAACTCCCCATTCTCACTACCAGCTCCAGGGTCTCCAGCCTCTCTCTCTTGCAGACAGAGGCTCTGAGGCCAACTAGCTTGGAAGGTTCTCTCATTTCTGCCATACTTGGCCCACTCAGGCTGACCACTTTCTTGGTGGGACTCAGAGAAACCGTTCCACTGTCTTGAACATGTGAAGATTTACAGATCACAAGTATGGTCATAGTGTGGAAGCCTCTCACCTCATTTAATTTAGGTGCATATGATCAAAGAGTGTGTTATTCCAACAACTGCCCCCACCCACACACCCTTGTCCAGCACCTAGGATCACATTTATCCCAAGGAATCGAACATGCCACACCATAAAAGTTTTGGCCTTTAGCCAATTATTATCTGAAAATATGCTAGTGTTAGGAGACTAAGGCAGCAGCGGCTTACCCAGAGGGCAGGACAGTCTTCCAAGAGCATCTGTATGTGTGGGCCCTAGCAGTCATAGCCCAAGGGCAGGGCCCGTTAACACAGCAGAGACACTGGCAACATGTTTGAGGAGTGACTGGGCAGGAAAAGCACATTCTGGGCATCTCCCTTTGTAAATACTTGGGTAACGTGCACTTTGAGGGCACAAGTAGGTGGGCTTCAGCAGTGACTTCATTGCCTTTCTATACCAGGGAGAGTCAGACAGACAGAAATAGGCCCGGAGGAAAGGAAAGCCTGGAGCAGAAGTTAAAATATGCAATCCCATGAAGGTGTGTAACATGGAAAAGCATGAACTGTTTCAAAGATAAGATCCCAGGCCAACGCACATATAAATGAGCCACATTTCATAGTAAAATAGCACTTCATGAGAAGAGTTAGAAATGTGATTTTCCTAGACCATCAGGACAAGAGGTTTCTCCCACTCTGTTCCTTTACTTAGCCATACTCTGCCTCTCTGGGTGATCTGAGCTTTTAAGAACCCAGGCAGCTCTGCTGTGCAGGCAGGGTGATTCTCACCTCTGACCCTCAGGGAGCAGAGCCGGTTTTACCAGAAAGCGTTCACAGGAAGGATGCTATGGGATGCTCACAGCCCTAGCTGAGGGGCAAGAAAAGATAAAATGTGGTTTTCTTAGCTGAAAACACTACAAATCCACCCCTACAAGGGGTATTTATGAGTTACAGGGGATGTGGGGCCTGGATATAAGCAATTTTCCCCTGAACCCAGCTCCAGGGTTACAGATGGTTGGTGATCTGCAAGGTCAAGTGGCTGAGGAGATAGGAGGTTGGAGAGTTAAAGATGAGCTCATGCTCAACATTACAGTATTAAGCACAGCATTCTCGGATGCAAAATTCATGTGGTGAGTCCCCCTTGGGCAACCTACCAGGAGAGTGGGGACCACAACCACCAGGCACACATGGGAGCCAATGTGCAGGAGAGAACCAACCATACTTTCATAATGTGAACCCATGCTTCGTGGCCTGTTGGAGGGGTGTGGAGGGAGTCCTGCCAGCTGCAGTTCTCTCTCCTGAGGAAAAGGAACCCTCCATGAAGCACTGGTTCCTGTCAACATTTTTAAAAGGGAGTGAGGTCAAGATAAGGCTGCTGCTTTACAAAAGGAAGTGCTTCCTTATGCGTGTGCCTCTATGTTCTGTGTAAACCTCTCTCAATATGGCTATGAGCAACATGAGTAATAGACCATGTTCAAACTCCAGACATCTGCAGAGTATCCTTTGCAGAATGCTGGGTAACAGCAATGAAATGGGAGCAGCGAGGCCAGGGACTTACTCCCAGCAGAAAATTAATCTAGATCAACTTTCTATAGGATTAAGTATGGGCCTACTCCCTCTTCAAAAGTGGCAACCCTAGAAGTGCTGGAAAAGATGGATAAGGGCTCCCAAATAACCGGGCAACAAAGTTTTCTGAGGAGATGAATGCAGCAGAAAAACCACAGTTGGTGCCATGTGGTCATACCATCCTCATCATGTCTTCATGGACCCCACTGGGTCCAACAAGAAACTCCTCAGGGAATTTAGGCTCAGATCTCCTTCCCACAGCCACACTGAGACTTGTGCCAGCAGTACATTTATGGGATGTCTGACTGTAACCACTAAGCTATTACTTTTTAAGGAAATCAAAATTACGATATCCCCTCCACTCCCAAACCACCCATCAGCACTGGCTCACTGTTTGAAGGATGTGGCAAGTCAGTTTGCTTCAGAACAGAACACAAACACTGTAGTGTCAGGAAGAAAAGGCCTCCGGATCATCACACCACTTCCTTCTGCCTCCTCCTCAGGGGCAAAATATTACTTCTACTTACATTTGAAAGACTAATTTTTAAAAAAATTAATAAAAATGACAATTTCCCTGTCGAGATCACATGAACACAAATAGTAAAGCAAAGTCCTTGGGGTGGGTAGATGGATGCGGAGCAGGCTTCTCAGGTGCAGTCAGCCTCCTTCCTGGTGTGGACAGCTGATGCTTCTTGGAGGAGGGGCTGTGAGTTTCCCCATCCCAGGTCCCTCTTGCCCCAGTACTCTTTCTTCTGCAGCTATCCTTGGGTTTAGTGTTGGGATCACAATTTGGAATTCAACAGAGAGCTTCTGGAGGTGATGAGACAGAGGGAGAAGAGAGGGGAGAGGGATGGAAAATCAGTCCTCTTCATCCTCACTGATATCATAGGCTACAGACTTGTGCCTGGAGAGGTTTGCTGGGGAGGAAGGTGGGGAAGTCTTGCCAGAGAATGGCCATCGGAAAGAGGGAGACGGGGAGCGATCCCGAGTAGGGCTGCTGCTGGGACTCTGCTTTGGACTGATGGCCTGCAGCATCCGGCCTTTTCCCTCTTTCAGCATATGTTTCTGAGGAGACAAAAAGAAGAGTTAGAAGAAAGCTGCAAATCCTACTAAATCATCACAGGAGGAACTGAGACTTCAATTATCACAAGTGCCCCTGCAATGCTGAAAGTGATCAAATAAGCCAGAGGAGGGGCATAGCTACATTACTAAGCAATTTCCTCCCTAAAGTGGTCTTTGCTATACTCCCTATTTAAGGGTTCCCACCTGCTACCCACAGTCACCAAATAAGTGACTTCTATGTAGAAGGAATTCTTAGAAAGCTACTTAATCTGTAGTCAGGCTCCAGGCAAAAACAAAGGAACTCACTCAGACAAAAGGGTATACATATCCCAATTTAAGTTCTCTGAAAAGGAAATTGCATGTTCTCCCTGAATAACCTATTTTAGTCTAAAGACCTTCACGGCCAGATCCTTCCTAACCCAGGGCTCATTTGCTGAACAGCTACACATATACCTTTATTTGGGATTGAAAATTCTTTTCTTCTCCTGAAGGACAGAGTTCTCACCTCATCCAGGGATCCTGCAACAGCTGTATATAGTGGAGGAGGCTTTCTTCCTATCATTATTTATTTTTTCTTTCCCTCCTATCTACAACTACAGTGTAGAAGCAAGCTGAATAAGGCCACTTGCTTATCTTGTTACCAGTTTGGAGGCTGATACAGAGCTGGAAAAATGATTTAGGAGAATGTGCAACTCCTTTTTGTAAAGATTTGAAAGAAATTTTTGGGGATAGCTGAAATCTAGTTCTGCCCACACATGAAGAACAGATTAGATAACTTCTTGATGTCAATGTCCTTTTCTGCTCAAGAATTCAATGATTCTCTCAACAGCTTAGAAATGCCCTGAATTATCCACCAGGGAAGACATACCAGTGCTCCTTCTGGACCGAACATTTCCAGGAAACTTCCAATGAATTCTCGGGATTTCTCTTCCCATTTCTGAATGAGGTCAATGCTTTTCTCCTCCACTTTCTGAACAAATTCTTTTGACTTCTCCTCCACATCTTTCACTTTCTTCTTTACTTTGTCAACCCGCTCCTGCAAGTGGTATTTCTTCTCCTAGGCAAAGAAATAACTGTTTTAAGAAATAATAATCATCCTGACCTTCCCTAACCAAAAGGAAAGAAAAAAACATAGTTCAAGCACTCCACTCATACTTGTTCCAGTCTGTAGGACCTCACCTTGCTTCAATCCACCTACACTTCTTCAGCACACTAACAGATATGATAGACTCTGGAGGGTCATCTTATAGAACAGTGAGATACAACTTTCACACTACTGAGGGAACACAGGATTCAACTAAATCTGAAAGGTAGGCCCATTAACAGGCAGCCAAATGAAGTCAGTTTTCATAAGTAGAAGTTTGGAACATAAGCATACCCAACATGACCCAAACCCCACTCCAGATGGAGACATTTTGGTAGCAATGAAATCACTGTATGACACTGCCAAGAAGCCAGCTACAACAGGTTGAAAGTGGAAGTATTGGCCTTTTAACTTAATTTGTTCATTGTACTAGTTTTTTTTTTCCCCATTTTCACTGGCCTACCCTATGATTTTAGGAGAGTGGGGTTTATTTATTTACCTCCCAAATTTACAATTAGGTGGCTTATTACAGAAGTAATGGGCTACAATTCAGGATCGGGATTAACTTGGAAGTAATAGGAACAACTCAGAAGACAGGATGCAGTCAGTCAGTCAGGACAGCTTCCAACCAACACAATTCTCATCTAATTCTTGGCTATGCCCTCAAGCAGGCCATCCTTAGCTGTGCCTGCAGCTGATCTCTGTTGCCAGCCCTCTTCTCTGCCTGGCCTGCCTTCTCTGCTTGGGGCAGTGTTACAGCTCTTTAGATTTGCCAACAGGTGCTCAGAGGCTCTCGACTCCACTAGCAAGCCCCCTGCCAAAAGATGCTCAGCTCTCTTGCTCTGTGGGCCAAGAAGTCCAACACAGCCTTCTTGCGCTGTTTTGAGAGGGGGCTTTATTTGCTTTTATTGTTTTTTGGTATTCGGAGGTCCATTTGCTCATTTGCAAAATGAAGATGATACTCTTTGTTCTTACAGATACCCTTATGATATGAATGCTTTGGGAAGAAAATGTTTAGTCAAATGAAAACTATTCTCGCAATTTCCAGGTCATAAAGGGGAAAAGGAATAAGTTTAAGGCTTTTAAACACCTGAGTCTTATGGGAAAATAGATCAAGATTTTGTAGTAGGCGATAACAGCAGCTAGGTTTTATGTGCATAGATAAATCATATTTAAATGAAACTATTTCACTTATTCCTATAGCATCATTCATAGGACTGGGAGCAGGTGAGGACCACGGTAAGCTACTTACATAGAAGATATAGTTAGCAGTTTATCTTTCTAAATCAACTTTACTGAGATATAATTTATATATAAAATGGATTATGATTTATTTCTAAGCTTATCTCAAACTCAGAAATAAGCTTAGAGATAAGCTATGAAAGCTTATCTCAAGCTTTCATAAATCAAATTGATAACTTAGGTTTACATTCCCTGAGAAATTACATGCAAAATGATGTGTGTAAGTATACAAGCAGGGAGAAGATCCATAGTTTTCAGCAGATTTTCAAGACAACATCCAATCTAAAAAGGTTGAGAACTACTGTTTTAAATGTATTTGATATTAACAGGACACTAGGTAAGTTACACACTCTTATTTATTTAATTGGCTGTGTGTCCTTATATTAGTGTGTTGACACTAGTCCATAAGGGCAGAAATTCCCTCTGGTTTATCCTCTTTGTAAAGAGCATAGCATAGTGTTCCAACAAGGAAGCATTCATTGAGTTTTTGGGGGTGATAATGACTGAGAAAGAAATTCAGCTCAGATGGAGCAAGAGACAAACCATGTCCTTCTTGCAGAGCCAGGGGACTCAGATGAGGGCAGCAACTCACGTTGATAAAGCTGACATTGAGCTCCTTAGCCGTGTAGCCCCTCTGCAGATTCCGTCTGGCATACACATCATAGTCCCGAACAATTCGAGTGATGATGTCTGACGTGGAGATACCTTCTGTCCTCTGTGTTGGAGCAAACATGCCTAATGCAAGAATACATGCACACACAGACAAACACTGTGAAATCTGGTTAGCTCAGGCAGCAGGACTAGATGGAAACTGGAAACAACATTCCTTTCCTGCAGAAGTGACATCCAGAGATACTGACATACAGAAGGAAGACTGAATTAAAGGCTAGGGGAAAAGAAAGAAGCCATAAGGCCTTAATATTAAGAGAAGAGGGGAAAAAAGGGATTTGGAACAGGTTGCTTGATGTTAAAAGAAATATCAAAGCAGATGCTCCTAGATGGTTGAGAATTAACGGACATCAATCAGTGCTGTTCTCAGCCTACCCTCTTATCCAAAGTGTGAACTTAAAGAGGATGCTGAATTTCTCAGTATACAATTTTCATTTTGTAAAGCACCGATACAACAGAATTTCTGTAGTTGTCCATGAGGCCCCATAAAGTGAGGATACACATCAACTTACTCACCTGCTTCCTTGATGTGCTTGTAAACATCATCACTCCCAGCAGAAGAATAAGGGATGTCATCATGGGCTACAAAATCAATCTGAAAATAAGGAAACACCATTTAAAACACAGGATAACTGCCATTCGGAAAGAATCAATGAAAGGGCAATAAGCAAAGTGTCAGGCTTCAAATGGACTTGTGTGTGTGTGCATGTGTGTGTGTACACCTTCCTTTACTTTGCTCCTAAATGCCGTGACTCATTCACAAACCACCCAACCTGGCTATTTAAGGATCATATATGTGGTTAGCCAGTTGCCTTTACAACTACATTTCCTGGCCTAGTGGAAGTGTTACCCTTCCATTGTATACTAGTCTGTAGGGTAAGCAGATTTGCTGGTGAGCTCCTTAGTGGGCAGCGCTTAGGAAAGAAGGAAATCTCCTCACCTTCCTGGGCCCATAAGGACTGGTCAAATAAGGGTTTCTCAGAGTGTGAGAAAGAGGTTACTTCTTTATTCAACTGATTTATTTCGCAGTCCACAAGCTGGGTAGGAATACAAAAATATCAACCAAGAGCCCTTTTACTGGAATAGATACACCTATACTCTCAAGAAATGCAAAACCCAGGGCCATAATAGATCTTCAGGTCTCAGGATCTATCATTTTGCTACTGTCAATATGACTTGCAAGTGTGATGGGAGATGATATGGCACTGGGATCAATAATCTTTCTCAGAGGCATGATACATATCACTTATTTATTCCTTCCTGAATAGACTTAGAGGAACTCTGGTAGTGTAATAGACAAAGCATTGGGCTACTAACCAAGGGGTTAGCACTTCAAACCTACCAGCTGCTCCATGGAAGAAAGATGAGGCAGTCTGCTTCCGTAAAGATGTTCAGTCTTGGAAACCCTATAGGACAGTTTTACTCTGTCCTATAGGGTCATTATGAGGTGGAATTAACTCGATGGCAGTGGGTTTCGTTTAGTTTTGAACAGACCTAAAACTGTTAACATCTCCATACCCAACTCCCAGAAGCCACAGTAGTATGGAGCATCCTCATTAGGACCATGTCAGAGATTCTCAGGTAACATCTCAACTTCCTGTAACAATCAGTCAGGGACTGATAGGCAGCAAAGTGAAAAATAAGAACGGGGGCAAGTACGACTCCCAGTTGAGGATGTGCAGCTAACAAAGAAAAAGGGTTAGTCAGAAATTCCTCCAACGCCATTCTTCTGTCCGGGGCTGCCTGGCTGTGTTGCTGAAAATAATCTTTCTTATCATCTTTGGTGCCACTGGCTACTCAGTGCTGGTGTAGAAAAACCGTTGCTGTTGTTAAGTGCTGTTGCCTCGATTTTGACTCATAGTGACTCCACATACAAAAGAATGAAACACTGCCCAGTCCAGTGCCATCCTCACAATCCTTACTATGCTGAGCCCATTGTCACAGCCACTGACTGTGTCAATCTATCTTGTTGAGGGCCTTCCCTTTTTTCTCTGACCCTCTACTTTACCAAGCATGATATCCTTCTCCAGGGACTAATCCCTTCTGACCACATGACCAAAGTAGGTGAGACAAAGTCTGGCCACTCTCACCTCCAAGGACCATTCCAGCTGCACTTCTTCCAGGACAGAAGTGTTTGTTGTTCTGGCAGGCCATGCTATTCTCAGTATTCTTTGCCACCACCACAATTCAAAAGCATCAACTCTTCATTGGTTTTCCTTATTCAATGTCCAGCTCTCACATGCATATGTTGTTGTTGTTGTTGTTTGCTGTCGAGTTGGCCCCGACTCATAGTGACCCCTTCTTGGGTTTCCGAGGCAGTATCACTACGGAACTCAACCTTCCTTCCGAGGAGTGGCTGGTGGGTTTGAACCACCAGCCTTCTGGTGAGCAGTCAAGTGCCTTAGGCACTATGCTACCAGAGGTCCCCACATGTATATGAGGCGACTGAAAATACTATGGCTTGGGTTAGGTTCACCTTAGTCTTCAAAGTGCTATCTATGCTCTTCAACACTTTAAAGAAGTATTTTGCAGCAGATCTGCCCAGTGCAATACAAGGTCTGATCTCTTGACTGCTGCTTCCAAGAGTGTTGATTGCAAATCCAACTAAAATGAAATCTTTGAAAACTTCAATCTTTTCTCCATTTATCATGATGTTGTTTATTGGGCCAGTTGTGAGGATTTTTATTTTATGTTAGTAATCCATACTGAAGGCTGTAGTCATTGATCTTCATCTTTTAGCACTTCAATTCTTCCTCACTTTCAGCAAGCAAGGTTGTGTTGTTAGCATATCACAGGTTAAGTCTTCTGTCAATCTTGATGCCACGTTTTTCTTCATATAGTCCAGCTTCTCAGCTTATTTGCTCAGGATACAAATTGAGTAAGTATAGTGAAAGGATACAACCCTGACGTGCACATCCTTCCTAATTTTAAACCATGCAGTATTCCCTTGTCCTGTTCTAAGGATAGCCCCTAGGTCTACGTACAGGTTCCTCATGAGCATAATTAAGTATTCTGGAATTCCCATTCTTTGTAACATTATCTATAATTTGGTATGAGCCACACAGTCAATGACTTTGCACAGTCAATATAATACAGGTAAGCATCTTTCTGGTATTCTTTACTTTCAGCTAAGATCCATCTGATCTCAGCAATCATATCCCTCATTCCACATTCTCTGCTGAATCCAGCCTGCATTTCTTGAAGTTCTCTGTAAATATATTGCTACGGCCGTTTTTGAATTATCTTCAGCAAAATTTTACTTGTGTGTGATATTAATGATACTGTTCAATAATTTCCACATTCTGTTGGGTGACCTTTCTTTGGAATCTGAAAAAAATATGGATCTCTTCCAATCAGTTGGTCAGGTAGCTGTCTTCCAAACTTCCTGGCATAAATGAATAAATGCCTCCAGTGCTGCATTTGTTGAAACATCTCAGTGAATAGTTCATCAATTCTTGGAGCCTTGTTTTTCACCAATTCCTTCAGTGCAGTTTAGACTTCTTCCTTCAATATCATTGGTTCTTCGTCTTTTTTTTTTTTTTTTTTTCTTACTGTGACTGGGGTGAAAGTTTACAGAGAAAATTCATTTTCCATACAGTAGTTCATACACATTTTGTTTCCTGATATTAATTGAAATCCCCATAACGTAACAAGCTCTCTTCCCAATTCCTACCTGTAGTTACCTTTTCCCTGTGTCCTTCTTTCCTATGCATTCCTGTCCTCTGAGCTATCTCCATGTGCAAATACTGCCCTTCTGATCTCCCATGATTGATTGTTCTAAGGAGTGTACCTAGTATAAATGTTCACCTTGTATGCCTGTCTATCGTGAGTGCATTTAATTTCAGGCCTGAAGGGTAACTGGGCCATAGTCTCGGGGGATTCACCAGGCTCTATCAGACCAGTAAACCTTGTCTTTTTTTTTTTTTTTTAATTTTATGATTTTGAGTTTTGTTCCACAGTTTTCTCCCACTCTATCCAGGATCTCCTACACTGATCCTTTTCCAAGTGGTTGACAGTGGTAGCCAGACACCATCTAGTTCTTCTGGTCTCATGGTCTTATAGAGTGAGGAGGTTCACATGGTCCACTAGTCCCTTGGACTAACTGTTTCCATGTGTCTACGGTTTTCTTCATTCTTCTTCACTCCAGAAAAGGAGAGACCAATTGTTGCATCTAGAAGGCCACTTGCAAGCTTTTAAGACCCCAGTCACTACTCACTAAAGCAGGATGTAGAACAATGTTTTCGTGTAGTATGTTATGCCAATTGAGCTTGAAGCCCCCTGCAACCATGGTTGCTCCTGAGCCTACAAGTCCAACAACTCGCTCTCCCAGGGTAGTTGGCTGTAGCTAAGAAGTTATCATTAACTTTGCCTCCTATTAGTTCTATTTAAATGGACATTCTTATAGCACATACGAATACGTATGCAGAAATATCATCTGCCAAACTTATATATTGTTGTTGTTGTTAAGTGCCGTCGAGTCGTTTCCGACTCATAGCGACCCCATGCACAGCAGAACGAAACACTGCCTGATCCCGCGCCAGCCCCACAATCCCTGCTATACTTGAGCCCATCATCGCAGCCACCGTATCAATCCATCTCGTTGAAGGCCTCCCCCTCTTTCGTC